ACATCGAATCTTAATTAAACCTAATTGAATAGACAATAGACAGTTATCTTAATATATTTGAATCCCTCGCCCTGTTTTTTTATTTCATGCTTTTCTGTGCCCCCATGTAAACATGCTGGCCCCCTCCTGGCCCCCTGCTACATTTGTTCTAGAACCGCCACTGCATAAACCCTTCAGGTCATGAAGCAAACTGAGCTCTAACCTGAACTAAAGCTCCAGAAACATCATAACCAGAAGCATCCAGAGCGGACACAGATGCTGGTGTGGGAAAGCGACAGCATCTTCGGCTTTAATTAGCGGCCAGTCTGGACAGTAGCATCACTCCACAGGGAGGAGACAGGAAGAGGAGCGTTTACAAAGCAGCTGAGAAAAATCTGGACACTTTCACAGACCCTTCAGGGGGCAACGAATTCTCATGTGAATCATGCATTTCCTGTCAAAGGCATAAAGGCCGTGTACAAACAAAAACACACGGAGAGTCGGGGTGAAAAGAAAGTACGCCTTCTGTCCATCCTAAAAGTCAACATACTGGAACATTTCATGTAAAGAAAAACTCAGTGTGAAGATCTGCTTTTGTTGCTATAAACCAACTTACAAAGCAGGCAGTGTTTAGTCCAAGGTGGGATTATGATAGACAAGGCAGTTTCGGTTTGTTTCCTACATCTGTTTAAGACCAATCATTTTCTATTTGGCATGATAGGGGTTTAAAACAACTATATGCACACTGGAAAAAATCTAATCTAGATAAGTCATTTTTTCTTAAAATAGGTGCATTTGTTCTTGGATTGAGGAGATTAAACGGACATTTTCCAAATGGAACAAGACAATTTACCCTTAAAATAAGAAATTTCAAGTGCATATTATCTAACTCTTATTTTAAGAGTAAAAATACTGATTCCATTGGCAAACTATCTTCTTTACCTACTCAAATTAAGGGTAAATACACTTTATTTAATAAATATTTACTTATTTCTAGATCATTTTTCCAGTGCATCAGGAGTATTTGATAGCAAATATATTTTCCAGATACAGTTTACCTGGTATGCATTTATTTTGTCATTTACAAATTCTGAATTTTGCCTCTAATTGCTTCCACAATGTTCTTTCCATACCTCCATACAGCCCTGGAAAATATTTTTTGCATATAATCCATTTCAGAAAGGTACGATTTCAAAGATTTATCTTTTTATAAAAAAAATCTAAGGGTTGATTCTAATGTCAAACTTGGAAATGCATGGGATAAAGAATTGGGAATCCACCTGAGCCAAGATGGTTGGGATAACGCCATTTACAGAAGTCCATCCTCCTCATCTTGTGCTCGTCTTAGTTTGATTCAATTTAAAGTTGTATATAGGATTCATTTCCCTAAATTTAGGCTTTCATGGTTTTGATTCTGTTCAAGTTTTATCTCTGAGTTTCCTTTGGTCTTATCTCCTTTTTGTGCTCTAGTTATTTTTGACTGTATGTGAGTTCTTAGATATTTCTTGTTTTCCTTCTTGTGTCAGTCTCCTTTCTCCTAGCTCCCTTCTTGCTTCCTCTGTTCACACCTGCTCCCAATCTGCTAATTAGCCTGGTCTTTGTTTCTCTCTCCCATTTTTCTCCTCCTGTTCAGTCACTCTTGGCTGGTTTGTCATCATTTCTTTACCCCTTGTGAGTATTCCTGGTTTTCAGTATTTTTTTTTTATTTTTATTTTGAAGATTTATGTCTTTTGTTTTGAAAGTAGATCTGCAACCTTGTCCATTTGTTGCCATATTTGGTATCCTCAACCCTACTGTAGTACTAAGTTCTGCTCAAATGCTTTTACATCTTTATTGTCTAAACATACTTTAATTTTCCACTGGAAGTTTGATAAATGTCCTTTAGTATCCCTCTGGGTTAAGGAGATTATGTTTTTTTTTTGTTTTTTTTTTTTTTGTTTAAGAAAATCAAATACACCCTTCGAGGAGCTACAGCAGGGGTAATCAATTTAAAATCAGCGGGGTCCGAATAAAGAAAATCATCAACCAGTAAAGGTCTGGAGACATTTTAATTATAATCGGTTACTTAAAACAGAATTTAACACTGAAAGAAAATGAGGTTTTTATGCATCCATGTTATATATTGACTTTTTAAATAAAAAAAAATTGTTAAAAAACAAATAAATTTTTTTTACATTTTAAAAATCTAAAGTGTTTTTTTAAGTAGAGAACAACAATCATTCAGTTTGCTATATAGACAATTTCCTGATTTACACATTTTATAAAACACCTGAACTGACCGTTTTTCTTTCTTTTTTCTGTCTTAATGTTGGCAGTGGGCTTTATGCTGCCCTGCAAGGCTTTAAACCTGGTTTGAATGGAGACTAAGCCATTCTAAAGCACATATCAAGGAGCTCATTTAGAGCCTGGATCCATATTTATTTTTGATTCTGTTCATGGTGGAGAATCCTGCTTCACAGCAGCAGGTTGAGCCAAACATCCTCTAAATGTGCAGGATCATCTTTGAGCACCATTTCACTTTTCTGTCACCAGTTCACCACAGTTCTTCCAGCAGTCCACACTTTCTCTGCTCTCTTTTTCTCATCATCTTCTCCTTCTTTCCCATCGCCCGGCTTGCCACAGGTTTGCCTGCTGTGTTTAAAAGTAGCAGCAGCAGCAACCCAGACTGACAGCAGCTCATTGGATCATGTGGAACACGTACAACCTGGTGCTGGACGCTCTGGAGGGCTTTAACATGTGTATATAGATAGATAGATAGATAATATATATTTTTTTTTACGGCACTAGTGGCTCGTTTTTTTATAGACAGTAGGCTGACAGGAAAGGGGGTATGAGAGAGGGGGAGAGACATGCGGGAAAAAACCACAGGCCGGATTCGAACCCGGACCTTCGCCCATGTCGAGGACTAAGTCCTCCATACATGGGTCGTGTGCTAACCACTGCACCACTAAAGCAAGCCCGGCTTTACCATATTAACAGGAGAAGCGGCGCAAGTGAAATTAGACACTGTCGTCAAATGTTTTAAATCAGGTTGAGTCCGGATTAGCAAGCAGGTGGATCCGGATCTGGATCCGGACTGCGATCCGCTAATCCGTGACCTCTGGTCTACACAGAAGTTCTACCAAAAATGGAAATGCTTTCTTAACCATTTTTAAAACTTAGTTTTGCCCAACCAAAGGTGCCTGTCGCTGAATTTTGTGCTGGTTAAAAGTAGTGTTGAAAGATGTGCATTAAATCCACAAAATAAACCAGCGGGTTTATTGAAATTAGCCATGTAGCTCCTGTAGGGCTAAAAAAACATTTAATTCTGGTAATGTTCTAAGAATTGAACCAGTGGATCCTTGAAAAGGAGAATTCAACTAAGTACAGTTTGAGAAAAGCATTGACACTGGCATTGATAAAACTATCCAGTAACTTTCATGAAGGACATTAGATTACTAAAGGAAGCTGTATGATAAACAGTATGTTATAGAAAAATACTCAGAAGTTTTCTGTATAAGTACTTAAGAGACATGTGGTACTTCCAGAAAAATTCTATCAAAATTTTCCGGAAAGTTCTGAGAAAGTTTCTGTGAAGAAACTACAAAGTCATGGAAAGTAACAGAGTCAGCTTTAAAGTTTCCCAGCTGTTTTTGGTTACTTCCAATCAACTATTTTGGCCCTTTTGAAGCCCTGAGAACTGTAGATCAGAAGCTAGTCTCCCTCACTGTCCCTTGCTGACATCCATATTGAGTCTAGAAAACCAAACAAAGCTGTAAAACGTCTGAACTTTGAACCTGACCTTTACTGCCACGTTCTCCGTCTCCATGGGTCTCATCGCGCGCCGGCTCGGCTGCTCGTAGTGGTCCATCTGGTAGCGCTTCGGCCCCTTCCTGTTGATGGCTGTGGTCTTTACACGACAGTAGGATCATAATGGAGAGGGGGAAACGTTAGGCATCCCCAAAAATAAAAGACCCTCTACAGCAGGCATTCCTAAAGTTGGTCCTCGAGAGCCGCTGTCCTGCAGGTTTTAGAGGTTTCCCCGATCCAGCACATCTGATTTACCTTCATAGTAGATTTACAGGCTTTTCCTGAACTGCAATCATCAGAATCAGCTGTGCTAAAGCCGGGCATACACTGTGCGATTTTTTTTTTTTTTTTTCAATCATTGCAGACAGCTAAAGCTCACACTGAACGACGAAACCGCAGGGTTTCTTCGTACGAGTTCACAGCTCACGATGCGTGTTCAGCACGATGCTCTGATGCGATCTACCTGCTCACACTGTACGTCTATAAAGCACATGGGACTCAGCTACGTAGTGCGATGATGCTACTCAGACACGTTTATCCGGAAGCCAAAGGAGCAGAAGAGGAATATGAAGCTCACTAGAGTGAAACGTGCTGCCTTGGCAATCTGTGCAATTTTGTGCTGAAAGCCCTAAAAAGAAAAGTAGACGACGTATTTGGACAAAGACATGACTCAGCAAACGTGGCTACTATGGTCTGTCAAGTTTACAGAAAGAACTCCATTTCACTCGCACCCCGGCCATGCTTCTGTGTTTGCATCTAAGAAGAAGAAGAAAGAGAAGAATCCTTGTTTGCCCACTGAGCGATTTGCCCACGATGGTCGGCTGAAAATATAACATGTTTGATTTTCTCCCGACTTCAGAATTCCTGATCGGGAGGTGGTGAGAGGCTGATCCCCCCTCGTTGTGGTGACACAACGCACGATCACGCTGAAACTCGGGCCAATCGGAAATTCTTGCTCGACTGAAAAGTTGTCCCAAATAGGGCAAGGAATTGCACAGTGTATGCCCGGCTTTACGCATAGAAACCTCTAAAACCTGCAGGAAAGGGGCCCTCGAGGACTAACTTTGGGGATGCCAGCACTATAGCATCATTGCATACAGGAAAGAAGAGGTTTAAATCCTTTCAGCTGTTTGATCAACTATTTTTATATATATATATATTTTTATTTTTTTATAAATTCAAACAATTAATTTTAAAGGTGAAGACCAAACTAATAAAAATAAACTCTGACTGACAGGCCATCTCCATTTGTGCTCGCATCGCAGTTCCTGGTTTTTATGAGTGGCGTGTTATGAGCAGCTCTCACCATTCCCAGGTGTTTCTTCCCAACGTCCAGGGAAACGGATATGTCTCCATTTCTCCAGCTGTCATCTCCGATTTCATCACTCTGAAGAAACTCACCGAGCTTCTGGACGCTGCAGGAAAGCAGACAAACGTTTCGACCAGTTAGACAAGGTCAAAAACATAGCTTTTTATTGACATTACACTGTCACAAGGACCCAGTAGCGAAATTAACCCTTGGGGAGCAGTGGGCTGCCATTTTCTGGCGCCTGGGGAGCAGTGTGGAGTTAAAGGTCTTTTGCTCAGGGACCCAGAGTGGCAGTCTGTGGGAGTGGGGCTCAATGCCCAAACCACCAGGCTGCCACTCCCCAATGTCACAGCCATTTTTCGGATCTCCACTTTGTCCACATGTTAGGTCCCATCCAAAACGAACAGAATGGAATGTCTCTGGAAAACTCACCTGACGAGGGCCTTCACCGCAAACCTGACCACAGTAGAGAGCAGGAAGAGCGGAGTGACCAGG